CTTAAATTTATTCAATACCCTGTTAAATTAAATAATTTTATCTACTTATTGTACTACAGTTTTTACTAACCTTTACAGAGGAAAGTATATAATTCATACTAACTGCTGATCAGAGCAAGCTACCTGCTTAACATGAAGCTAAAAATCAACCTAGTAGTGGAAATAGCTATGTATGCTTTTCTCATGTTCTTACTTGTAAAGAATAGGATGAATTGTTTCATCAGTTGGGTACTCCTCAATGTTAAAGATCTTTTTGGCTGTAAACCCAATACTATTCCAAGAGTCTTGGCCAGCTCATGAGATTTAGATTAGTCCTAAATCCATATATTAAGCTAATAATGCAAACTATCTCTATAATACAAGTATAATGAAATTATGATATGTCATATTGTAGCATGTTACACAAAATTTCTCATTATTCATCGGTCAAACGTACCTAAATGCATTAGCATTACTAGATATTCTTCATTTTTTATTACACTGAAACAATTTTTTGATAATAAAATGTTCAACACTGCATACAACAATATAGTTTTGTTTAATACATATACAGGTCACTTCATTATGAACACTTGATTTTTGTTTCTCTTTGTGAGTTGAAGAAAGGACCCCCATTTGTGAAACTACTTCTACCATAAATATTTGCACCGAAGTAATTTATGATGAAGTTTTATTTATCACCATTCTTTCAGTATATATCTTTGAAGCATTTCCAGCATTTGAAGTTTCAAAACTGATACAAAGGATGCATTTTTTTAAAAACTGAAGATAGTTTTCAGCATACATCTGTGTGAATGTAAGCACCATTGAAAACTTGCAATCTCTTTTCACTCTAAATTCCCAAAATAAATGTTAGAACTAACTATAATTATATAATTTATATATCAAAAAGTTGAAAAATTTATCATTAATCATGAACTTCAGGAATTTCAAGCTTTAATATACAATATAAACAAGTACACTGAATTATTACTTTTGCTCTTAACTTGTTCTGTTTAGTTTATCAATTCAGACCATGGTTGGGCTTTGTAATTCAAACTTTACCTGTGGTGTTTTTAAAGTATTGAAAAAAACATGAAAAAAATCCAATAACTTAATTCTGAATAATTCTTGAAGTGATGATTTAACCTAAATAACTAACTAACATTTAGTAGGTTACATGCAGGCCAGATGAATACTTTAACCCATTTAAAAATTTCACCAGTATATACCTATATATATGTATATATATATATATATATATAAAGTTGAAACCTCAGTGGCCTCGAACTTATCTTATGAGAATCTCCACAGGTGAATTAAAACTGTGTCAAACAACTAACCTTTAATTTCAAACTAAATCTAAAACACCTACACTAACTTGTCAACTTCCAGTTATGGAAGTTTCTAAACTGTTACAAGTACTTTCATTAATTACTACAATAAAAATAAAATTCCTGCATATTATTTAAACTACCTTTTATCACTAGATTTTGGCTTTAATACTCCGTATCTTAATTAAAAAAATATGCAAATGTTATTTTATTTTTCCACCTGTATTTCAGATAGTTAAATTAAAAACACATTCCTGGCTATACTTTAGTCATATTATATATGTGTGTATATATATATATATGTATTTATGTATATAACTTAAGAACAAGAGAGGACCTGTTGGTTCATCTAGGCCATCCCATACACTAAACTGTAAAATAAAACACCAAAGCCAACCCTTTTCATTCAAATATTTAACAAGCTTTCCCTTAAATTAACTGCATCCACCACATTTGACAGCAACCCATTTGAAAAGCCAACCACCCTATTGGAAATGTAAAATTGTCTTAGCTGAAGTTGATTCCAACCCTGTGAAAATTGATATTTGTGTCCCTTAGTCTCACCATTAAGTACAAGAAAGGCTGATGTATCAACACTATCAATTCACTTAAGAATCTTAAACACCTCAATCACATCCTCTCTAACTCTTATTAAAAAATAAATCAGAGATGCTAACTTGTCCTCATATGACAACCTTGCCATGCCATGTATCCTAGTAGTCCTTCTCTGAGCCCTTTCCGAAGATAAGGGACCCAAGACTGAATACAATACTTTAAATGTGGACTAACCAATAACTTATACAATGAAGCTATAGCCTCTTTAGACTTGTATTCAATATTTCTGTAGATACAACCTCAAATCCTATTTGACCTGCCACTAACAACAGCTTGAATGGCTTAAGAGACTGGTTAATTAGAGCAACAAGATCATTTTCTTCCATAACAATGTTAAGGTTATTTCCATCAAAATTGCATTCATAATTCAAATTATGATACCCTGCATGCAATACCTTGTAATTATTATAATGAAAAGACATCTGTCATTTATTCACCCAATTCACTAAATAATCCAAATCCTTTATTAAAGCAGTTGCATACTGTTTACAACTAGCAACACCCAAACCTTAATATCATTAGCAAATCTAAATAATTTATTGATCATTCTTTTATCTAAGTCATTGATGTAAATAAGAAAAAAAAATGTCCTAACTCTGAGCCCTAATGTACCCCACTTGTGACTTTGATACAGTTTGATTGAACTCTGTTTATAAAAAACTTTCTGCTTTCTTCCATCCAGCCAGTTTTCTATTCAATGAGCCAACCTGTTCCCCACTCCTACAAAGATATTTTGTTTAACAAACCTTTTACATGGCATTTCACCAAATGCTTTCTGAAAATCCAAATATACCAAATACACACCCATACTCTCATCTACATAAGTAGTAACCTCTTAAAACAAATGCCAAAAGATTAATAAGGGAAGATTTTTCTTTAGAAACCAACAAAATTTTATACTTTGTTAAATTACTTTCCAAAGTATCTTTAATCAGACATTCAAAAACTTTTTCTACCATCGATGTAAGACTAATAGGCCTATAATTTCTAAGACAACTTTTATCACTTCCCTTAAAAAGTAACATTAGCAAACTATTAATTTTCTGGCATCTGCCAACTATTCACGGAGTTACAAAAACAGTAGCAAGTGGCTCACATATCCCGATCCTTAATCTTCAAAATCATTGGGAAAATATCATCTGGTTCAGGAACATCATTATTCTTTAAACTTCTAAATTTTTTCTCAATAAGCTCAGAATTAATGTGATCATCATTTCCTTCTAGCAAATGTTCAAGATAAGGAATATTGCTTAAATCTTCATTAGTAAAAACTGAGAGAAAGTAGAATTTAATTAAATAGGCCAACATTTGCAGGTGAATGTAACATGTCTCCACCACATAATCCCAACATCACCAATTTTTACACCACAAAAATTATGAAAAACACAGAAAAATGGGCAAGTCCAACATTTTTTTTTTCAATGTATGTTGCTTGTAGAAAAGAATATTTGTACCAAATTCCATGCAAATTGGTCAAAACAAGGTGAAGTAATTGACTGAAACTCCTAAAATTATGGGTTTATTTAAAGTTTTGATCCCACCCCCATGACCAAAAGTGGACTCATCCAACACTCTTGTATGTATATGTAAGGGACCTGTAAAATGTATCTTCGTACCAAATCCCATGTAAATTGGCTGAAATACAGTGGAGGAATTATTAAAAAACTCTAAAATTATGCTTTCTGTGGCATCTTGACCCTCTATAATTACTAAAAATGGGCAAGTCCACCCTTTTTGTATGTCAACATGTGGGACCTACAGAAAAGTATTTTTGTATCAACTCCCATGTAAGTTTGTCAAAATATGGCCCAGTAATTGACCACATACCTCAACATTATGCTCTTTTGCAAGCTCTAACCCCCCACTCACCCCCCTTCCAAAAAAAAACACAACAACAAAACAAACACGCTCAAAATAGGAAAATTGAGCTTTTTTTGCATGTCAATGTGTTGGATGCTTGAATCTTTATATTTGTGCCAATTTTCATCTTGTAAATATGACTACACAGCAGCCCGAACATACATTTTTGGGTTGTTTGACCTTTGACTCCATAAAATCCTTAAAAATGCCTAAATCAAAAAAAATGAAAAAGATGTCTGGGCATATTGGACCAAGGTATAACAACCAAGTTTCAAGTCAATCCACCAAGAAATGAAGGAATGGCAATCGAATGAAAAGTGTTTGGAAAAAGAAAGAAAAAACAATAGAAAAATAGTACGTCTCTCCACATAAATATAATAACCCAGCTATCTCATAATAATCAAAAATGAGTTTTCCTATATCATCCCTCAAAGACCCTACTCCTATCTTCACATTTCTCTTACCCATAACGTATTTAAAGAAACCCTTACTACTAATTTTGACATTTTCAGGCAATTTTTTTAATAAATTTTTCAATTTCCAATGTAACCAACTCCCTTGATTTTATATTATTCTGTAAATGTTCCATTATGGTAGTCAATTTACATTTTATAATGATTTTCTTTAATTTTATCCTTTATATCTTTTGTGAGCCAAACTGGTTTTTACTTGCAGCCACTAATTTTTTGCTATGAGGAACATGCCTATCTTGAATACTTGATAACACACTTCATTAACATACGATTTTCACTTTTCAAAGTTTTCTCTCTCAGAAAACAGAAGAATGAACATATTACATGAAGCTCAGTGGCTTTTTTCTGGTAGAATAGTAAAAGTTGAATGTCAGTGCAACTTAGCCATACCACTAAGTTTACCATCAGTATAATAAGTTTAACTATTGTGGTTATTTCCTGTAGTTTTCTTAACAAAATCATGCAGTTTATTTCAAGAGCTTCATAAAGGTCAAAATTTAGTCAAATCATGTAGAAATTAACCTTGCTTCTAAGCTATTAACTACAGTGATTCAAAAGCATTTGGGATCTAAAATCAGTCAACATAAGCTTCAGATACATCTTCAAAGATACACATCTGCTTTGAAATATTCTTTTTAAGTTTTTCCCTGAAACAAAAACAAAATATAAATAAGCTACTAAAGTTTAAAATCTGACGATAAAACTTTAAAATATTTTCACTTTATAGGTTTATACTTACCATTAGTTCTCTGGATGTCTACATTTATTCCAATTTTCAAGCCTCCTAACTCACTGTTCATGTTGGGTTATATCTTCCAGCTAATGTACAAAATAAAAAAATAGCTTAATTAGCTCTTAATAACCTATAAAACTTCAACTTTAAGTGTAACTCAAAGCATGCTAATTTAAGACCCAAATCAACTGTATCTTCTACTCAGTTTATTAACTTTTTATTATTATTAAATCTCAAATGTAACATAAAACATATTGTAAAAGTAACTTTTGCAGTTCAAATACATAACACCTTATGTAGCATCAAATGTAATTTTTTGTATATTTAATTAGTACTAGTAGTTGGAATTTCTAGTTGATACTCATTAAAAAAAATAGCATTAAGATAGAATACAATATTGTGAACATTTATTATAAGCAATGATATATAAGAATATTTTTTATGTAAACAAAATTAAAAACTTGTGAAATAGAATATAAAGTCAAAAACATGACAATAAATATTCAAAAACCCATTGTTACGCAACTTTATCTGCTACAAATTATTATTAATAACTTCATAATACAATTAAGTTAATTTCACAGATAAGAACTAAAAAAATAACATACATTTATGAAGTATTTCATGTATAATAAACTTGACTTTGTAAAAAATTGTGTGCCTCAAGGAGCTTGGGTCTTCCTTTTCTTATTATTTACATTAATGATATTGATAGGGCATAATTAGTAAATACATAAAATTAACTGATGATATTACCTTGGTATTCCTAGCTGTACTGATGATGCTATGGTACTACAGAGTGACTTGAACCAACTGGTAAATTGGGTAAAGTTAGTAAATGACCTTTAGTAAACAGAAGATAATGCATTTCAGTTATCATAACTTGGATTACAAGTTGAATATAGATTGAAACTCAATTGTGTTACTAAAGAAAAGGATCTTGGCATGGTGTTGGATAAGCCATCAAAACAATGCTCTGTTGCTAGTAATAAAAGTTAAAAGAACTTTAGGACATTTTTATACATATTTTGATTAGAAAATACAGGATATGCTTCAGTTAATAGTTATACTTTTCTAACATGATGACTGACTAATGGAAACTACATCAGAAGTGGAAGCCACAAGCACTGTATAGGAGTTTAAGGGTAAAATTACTTATAAGGAGTGGATTCAGTGGTTTCCTGAAAAGTAAAGTGTGGGTTTAAATTTTTACTTTTTTAAAATATGGATGTGCAAGGACAGCCTTGATGGACTGAGTGGTCCCTTGTTGTCTAGATCATTAGTGAAATTAACTCCAAAGAAAAATATAGGAAGTTATTACATACAAAAATGTGTCACTTTTTCTTATGAAACTATGTAAATGATAATGAACTGCTACCTTATAGATATATTTTATCCTTCTGTTTCACCTTTAAATATTTTAGCAGTTGTTATGGCACATAACCCATCATGCTAGCAAAGTGTTATCTATATAGTATATAATGGTGTTATATTGATATTACATCACAAAAAGAGTGAACATTTTTAATAAATCTTTAAAAATTACTGTCAGTCTTGTTGTGATGTAATGTTACACAAAACAGCTAAGTGTTTTACTCAATGAACAGCAAAAAAGATAGCAAGTCATAACATAACATTTAAGAACAACAGGCCTGTTGATCCATTGAGGATATCCCATCCATTAAACTAAACTTTAAAAAAATAATAACATCCTTAAAGTTAGCCTTTACCATTTAAATACTTATAAGGCCTTCCATTAAACTCCCTTAAATTTACTGCATCCATCATCATCTGAAAGCAACGAATACTAATGGTGAACCATCTTATTAAAGATTAAAACTGTCTCAGCTGAAGATGACTAACCATGACAAAATTTATGTTCCCTTGTCCTACCATTCTCACCATTAACTCTTTCAGCACAGGGTCAGTCCGTGGGATCGACCTCGTAACCATTTTGTGCTTGTTATAATTTTAATGCTAAAACTTTTAAATTAGTTAGCATATGTTAATGACAGTTGGCAGATTATCAGCAAACAATGCTTTCATATGAAAAATATCAACTCTTTTTTTTTATTAAGTCTTAAGGTTTGTTAAGCAATGTTTTTCTGGTGCCTTTTTTTTTTCACATGCTGTCTATCCAACATGCAAAGTAATTTTCATTTTAAGATTACAAATACTTTTGTGCATCAGAAGATTTTCAAATTTCACATGCAAAACATTTCTTAAGAAAAACTATTTTATCTGTTATTTTCAGTAAGGAATCTCTGTACAGGTTTGGTTGATTTGACCAATCTCGTAACCACGTTATGAAATTAGGAAATAAATATAAATTATGCCTTTTTCATTCTAGAATGACTACAAATTATAACACAAAACATAAATGTTTAAACAAAATAGCTTAAATCTCATAACATTATACATTTATTATATTGACCTTTCAGCCATTCCTGGCTAACAATACACAAATTATAATGATGCAGCGCACATGCACTCATGTTACTGTATCCAATAATATAAAACTGACCTTTAGTTTTTACAAAGTGACCTGTCTTGGCTGTGTTTTAATAGACTAGTATTTTGTAAAATACAGTCACATTTTGATTACTATACATTATATGTGTATATAGATTATTGCTATTTAGAAATAAGTTCTTAAACTTACTTTTCTTAAAACATAGAACAGTAAATAAAGAAGTAAAGCAAGCAATTATCTCTTCTAGTTATGACCTTTGTACTCAGTTGCTGCTTGACGTAGGTAGCTAAGCCTTTTAAAATTTCACATGTGGAGGATATGAAATGAAAACATTTTTTTTAGGTTTTATATATAGAGTTGAATAACCAAAAAATCATAAATTACTACATAATTACCATTTAATTCCACTATAATTTATAAAGCTTAGTAACTAAGATGTGTTTTAGTCTATAAAAATATGAAATTTCAAGCAGAATAAAGACACAACCTACCTCCTTGAAATCTTGGTTTGAAAGAAAGGAATGGCAACCAAACACATTAAAAAGGCTGATAAAGCTACTAGGGGGACATTCTGAGCTTCTGATTGGTTATTTATGTCATATTTAGAAGTGTATATAAGGGAGCGTTTCCAAAAATGGAAATGGGTGGGCAGGGTGTCACTGTTTGATTTATTACATGAGCAATATCTTGGCAAATTGAAAAGAGGCTCTTATGTTATGTTCTAGCTTGTCAATATCGGTAATTTGATTTCCTAATTCGTATGAAACTATAGACTTAGTATTTGGACATCATAAACATCTAATTTGAACCAGTGCTGCATTCAACATACCACGTAACACACAAAAATCAATGTTTAACTGTGTTTTTTAATATTTACCTT